CAAAAAAACCGTAAATTTTTATGTAATTTTCCTCGGAATATTCTATTTAGTGTTTAATTTCTTAATTTCTAGTTCAAATTTATCTTAAAAATAAAATTCCTTAGTGTTAATTTCTTCTATTTACAATTTGAATTCTTTTTGCATAAAAATTTAGTAATCAAGGAGAATTTTAAATGATAAAATATCCCCCATTTAAGTACACTCATTAAGTTGGGAATTAAATTAAACAATTGCTTCGATAAATTTGATCAAAAGATCTTTCGAAATTCACTATACAATTTTTCAAAAGGAAGCAAACTCATTTCAATTTTCAAATATTTGCTTGCTCTATTAACATTGTCCGTGTAAGCAGCTTTAATTTACCAATCATAATGTACTCACTCCCTCATATACCTACCTACCTATCTATAAGACACATCACTTTCAGTAAACAATACCTTCCCAGCAATTCAAAGCATAATTCTTCGTTAAGCAAAACTTTGCTAAATTTAATTTCGCCCAGTTAGCAGCAACTTCTCGTAACAAGGAAGTTTACCCAATACTTACCAATAAAAAAAAGAAAAGAAAGGAAATATTTTTTTCTTTCATGAGAAAATTGTATCATTTATTTTACTTTTGCAAATAAACTTTTGATATTGATTTGTGCATAGATGCAAGTAATAATTTGTAGAAAAATAATTTTTTAATTACAAAATTAATTTACTATAAATTTTTGTTGTGTGTCGATTTCGGTGTTTATTTATCATTGTCGTTACAATTTGAAAAAAAAAGAAAAGAAAAAATTTTTGCTATAACACACACCCATACAGACAGACAGACAGACAGACACAAAAACACACACACATATGTTTAGTGCTATGTAGCATAAGGGGTAATGGTATGGAAATGTGAAATGGAAATACTTGAAATCTATATCATTCTTCATTAAATGGTACTCCTCAACATCTGCTTATTTCCTTTCAATTGAACTACACCGAAGAAGTGGAAGGAAGGAGGCGGGGGATATTGCGGGGCGGCATGGAAAAAATGAATGAATATATTATTATTCCGCCGCGATCAGTTCTGTTTGTCCGCCCATTTCACCCCTATCCTTTCCTTCCTTTTTATTCAATTTTATAAAATATTTTGCAGTATATCTTTGAAAAATTTATCTCTCTATCATTTATCTATCACTTCGCTTTTTATAGATGCAACAGTAATGTAAAATACATGTAATTTGATAATTTACCATACGTAATTCATTTTATGCCAGGGTTATTATAATTGACGTATACATATATTTACGTATAAGTTGACGCTTTGACGTATACAATGAATTACGTATGGTAAATTCTTTTTTTCGTATGCCAACGTAATTTACACCGGTATATATGTATGCGTATACTTCAAAGCGTCAACCTATACGTCAATATATGTATACGTCAATTATAATAACCTTGATATAAAATGATATTCACATTTTGAGTAATACGAACTCTTCTTTTATAATAATTTTGCTGACAATCTGTTTGCGCTATGTCACAATGATCAAAAAATAAGTATATAAAAATAGAATGTAGGGCCTTACGTGGACAGTTATACTTCCTGTCATCAGAGGGGAAGCAACAATATGATTGATATTCCCTTTTATACATTCACTATTTGTGCCATTTGCATTCAGTAATAAGCCTAATTAGTACTACTAAAGTGAAAGTTGTAAGACTTCTTAATCAATCAAAATTATGGATGACCTATTGATGATAATGCAGTTTAGCAGATTGGATTAATCATTTTCCGAATATGATCCTATCAAGAAATGTTTACTATCTGATCTCCTCGGTTAAACTGAATTCTATGTACCATCCAGAAAAAAGTTTACAGTGTTTAAGTCATTCAAGTTTTTTACTTGGATGATTGTACTACATTTATGAATGCTTACAATTTTGAATGCTTACAATTGTTTGAATAAAAAGATGGCTTTTTTTTTCTTGCCTTATATAATTTCATTTGGCTGTCATTTATTTATTATTTTTTTCTACGTCTTTTCCTTTTTACTTACTTATAGTAAGATAAAAAACATTATCCGTAATCCATCGCACGCTACATTTCCTTAACTATATATTAAGTTAGCTGGTTGGCAAAACCAAAAGATTATAACATCATTTGTCTATCTGAAAAAGAAAAAAAAATTCAGGAAATTCAGGGAATTATTTATTTTACTGCCATTGACTTGCTTTCTTACTTATATATTAAATCATTTAGCATTTTACAAATTAACTTTATTATGCGTATAATTCCTTAATTCAAAATGATATTCGTTTATGCTTTTACCATATAGTTTTTCATGCAGAAAATTCGTCGATAATTTGTTAAAATATAGAATACGTAAATGTAAAAAAATTTTATTATTTAATTTAATATAATTGATTAGCTTATTAACAAAATATTTCATAAAATTAAAAATGAAAACGCATTCTTCTTACAGAAGAATAAGGTCAACAAAATATTATAATTTGTAGGAAATTTAATGATTTTTCTTTCTTCTATAATTATGAGAAATTAAATCGAATAAAAACTTTCAGTAATTTCAGTAATTGGGTATCTGTTTATCTTATTCATCGATACTTAATTTTAATTATTTTCAACCTTACCTTCCCGTTTTTCATGCTTACTCACTTGCCTTTAAATTCATTTATTTTATTTCAATGTAAAAAGTAGAAATGATTTGAATCATATATTGATGGATCCGCTAAACTATTGCTTAAAAAAAGAAATAAATTTAGGTAGTAAAACAATCATTCTGCTCCATTCTTATTAACTCATTAAATGATTTGATTTTTTAGTATGCAAATGTTTATTTGCCGAAAATTTTCTCCATTATATTTATGAAATATTCAATTAAGAGCATAATGAGACTTAGGCCATTGCATTTTAAATATAATCAAGGCATATGGCTATCTAGAATTAAATTAGCTGACTTCTTTATCGTTAACTTTTCACAGAGTAGTAATCTGGGATATGATGCTTAGAATATAATCACGAGAAGTACGGGTCGGACAAATATGTTCAATTATTGTAATACTATCAGTGCCACCGTTGGCATTCCATCGATATCAATCAGTTATTTTCATATCACAACCAATAATCATTCATTTCTCCAAACACAGTTCAAAATCATTCTTTCTCTCCGTATTATACGCATAAATATGTTCGGTGGTGGTACATTAGATATATGACAAAGATAATCACACAAAAACCATTTAATCTCTTATTTTACTAAAGCAAAACGGACTATTCAATATTTTAAACTCTCTTTGTTTATCTCATTTTTTCATTTTTAAAAATTTTATTTAAAAATGATTTGTTGTTATTTATTTAGATCATTTGCTTATTAGTTTATTAAATGGTATCATTGCGTTGTTAAAATGTTTATTAACCAAAAAAAGAGAAAAGAACAAAATCGTTCGCCACATTGATGAGATATTTTAATTTTGATATGTATTTATGAAATATTTAATAGCTCTCATTTGTCTTTTTATTTTCCTAACAAATGTTTCAAATGAAGCGTTCAAATGTTTTGGTTTTTTGATCGATGGGCAAAGAGCAAATAAACGAACAAAATGTTTGATTTAACATACAACATATGAGCAGGGAATTAAATAACTTAATAAGCTTGAGGTTACTTATTAACTTATATACAAGTTATTAGCTCCTACCTAGCACATTAACTTTATCAATTTATTATGTTACTCACCCGTTCATTCTCTATTTTTCTGCTGAAACCAATCTTCTACGAATAAAAGGAACCGAAATATTCCAATGCTTTATTTAAAATTCATTCGGAAAGCTATAAGTGACGTCTTTTTTCGTCCTTTTGCAAATAACGAAAAATTTGCAAAATTTTGAAATAATGGAAATTTATGGCTGTTGAATATTCTTAACGCATTATTATATTTTCGATGAAAAATTAATATTCTGTACTGGTGGCTGTCCATTCCCAAATATCATTTAGGAATAGTGGGAAGGGTAGAGGTTGCTCCTTTTTTTCTCGAGAAACGAGGGAAAAGGTGGAAAGAATTTTGCAATTGAAATGTTGAAGTTGTAGAAAAAAACAATTAGGCTCAAATAGTCGTTATTCAAATTATAATTTTTTACCATTGTGATATCTCATCTTCCCATATTTAATGGTAAATGATAATAAGATAAGTTACTTTACGACATACAATCTGTAGGATTCAAAACCGGATAAGTGAAAACCAATTGATGATATGGATATTAATTGATGGGAGTGGTACCTTAACAGATATCACTCGATCATGCAACATAGCTCAATAGTCAAGTGTTGCTGGAGGTAATGGTGTCAGGAATTTGAAGATTTAGCTGCTTCTCCCATTCCTTTTCTCCCAAGTGTTTCGCTTCACTCCACGACCCGAACCGGGGAGTGGGAAAGGGGGAAGGAGATAGGTAGAAAGAGGAGGAGAAGTTAGGATGAAATGATAAATGTCATCATCAGTCGATCCCGTTCATTATAGTTTGAAAATGTTTATAAAATGTTGCTTCATCTCGTGTTTTTAGCTTCCACACTAATACAAACAATCTCTTTCCCTTTCGTATATTCTACCTTTGCGTTGTTGGAGGTAATTGTATCTGAAGTAAGTAGTGGTATGTTTACATAGATAAGTGAAACACATTTTTGTGAATTCGTTTCGATTAAATTTAAATTTTTGTTAAATTACACAAAAATTTTTATTATTTCAGGTAGTGCATAACGAAGCAAAGAAATTTACAAATCAAATCAAACTGAACTAAATTCAACATTATTTTGTTCATGCATAATTTTGAAGGCAGGACTGGACAAATATTAAATAGGAACCAAAGAATATCAATTACGATTGAACCGGTGAGAAAGGAAAGTGGATAAATTAACTGTATTACCGGAATCTGATGAACAGTTTGGAGTGCTGTATCCCGGGAACATCATCATTACCATCATCGATAAAATTAGCAACACCAATAATAGTATGTCGTCCACATCATCTGGTTCCGTATCATCTCGACGGAAACAAGCAAAACCGCAACGTCTTTCACACGAATCTGACCTGTGCTCCGATTCAACCATCATTAATGGTAAGTACTTTAATATTCGAAATTAGTTCATATTAACATTAACAAACAGTTTCTAAAAAACGAGCTTTTTTTAAATTGTAGTGTCATTTTTTTTTTATATTTGTCATTTAAAAATTTTTTAAACTTTCAACAAATATTTAAATACTTTGGATTCTTCCTCGACATTTTTGATGCATTTTACCGAATGTCTATCTTGTAATGATAATATAGTGCTGATATATCATCTCCATAAAACATGAAATTACAAGCTGATGAAAATAAACCCAGATAGATAATTCATGCTATCAGCTATGTTATAATAGCTTTGCTACCATCATGTGACCTAGCCTTCTCATTACTATGAAGATATCACAAAGATTAAATTTTGATAAGAATAAACTGGACAAGTAGCATGAATTCTGGATATTATTAACAATGGCATACACCTGCTACGTTTTAACTGTTCTCCTCATTTTTATCTTTTTAAAACTTTCGAAGTTTTGAAAATATTAAATTTTATTCTTTTTAAATTTTCATTTAGACATTCCGATTAAACCAAATTTAACAAATTCTTTTAAGAGTATCATTATATGAAACTTATATGTGCCTTCATTTTCCAACCAATCAAATGTATTGTAAACAGAACAAAATCTTTTGATATGACATGCATATAC